GGCAGGAGACACCGCGGCGCAGTCGCCTGGGCGGCCCCCCCACCCGGCGCGGCCCCATCCTGGGGAGGCCTCCCAGGGCTCAGAAGGGCACTTCAGGCAAGACATGGGTTCGTGGCCAGGCGCCCTGCTCGCTGCCGCCTGGGCTGCAGCCCTCCGCCGGGCTGGCCAGCCCAGGTCACCTGGGTCTGCCCCCACGCCTGTCGGGGCTTGCTCCCCAGGCACCCCACGCCCCACCCTGACCTCGGGGCTGGCACAGGCCCCACAGACGCTGTAGGGTTCCTGTGGACGAGGGGCCTGACCCTGACCTCGCGGGGGGCCCTGCGGCATGGGCTGCTCTCCTAGGGTGCTGCTAGCAGTCACCCCAAACCCAGGAGCAACGGGGCCCTGGAGAATCCTGAACACAGCTGCAGCCATACTGCCACCTCCGGCCGGCTGCGGGCGACAGGGCCTGCCCACCCCACGCCCACATCGGGCTTGGAAAGGACCTCGGTCAGCAGGGCCTGCCACGTCCCCCACCCCCTCCAGCCACGTCCAGTGCCAGTGGAGCTGGTGACCAGCAGTTTAGAATCCTGGGGCGGCCCGAGCTGGACCCTGCTCCCGTGCCACACCCATCCTGTCTCCATAGCTCGGGGACCACCGGCCTCCTTCCTGACCCCCAGCTTCTGTGGAGGGCACGGCACAGCTGCCCAGCGGCCACAGCACCCAGACCACCCGTGTGGGTCACTGAGATGGACCAGCCGAACACCAGGCGGCCGAGCCAGGCCGGCCCAGGGCTGCTGTCCTGGTCTGAGAGCGCTGGGTGGACCCCCCTGCCGCGGAAGCCATGGCTCATTGGACCTGACCCCTTGCTGGACAGCTGCCGGGTGTCCACAGCCTCGCCGCTGGACAGGAGCCCCCGGGGTCAGCCCATGCCCCAGCTTCAGAACGGCAGCCTTGCTGTCCAGCCCAGGAGGCCTCCACGTTTGGGGGCCAGGGATGCCCAGTGGGGCTCGGCGACCCTCCCCCTCTCTGGGAGCCTGAGCTGCGGCCTCGGCAGGGCCC